ACAATGCTGAAGTGAAAACAGGAAATGTTTTGCTTGCAGAAGTTTCTGAAAGAGGATGCACTTGATTAACCTGGTTGTCTATTTAAAAGTCATGCAGTGAAAATACTTATGTTCCTCTCCTGGTGGGGCTTGCCCAGAGCTCTTAGAACCTGGATTACAAAGCATTACGACCACCGTGCAGTATGCCTAAAAGTAAAATACCAAATGTTCTGAAGGCAACATAGCTCAATTTAGTCTTTTGCATTCATCATGCAGGTGACAATGAAAAATGTGATCACTGAGGTGGAACTTGTGAAATGAAACAAACCATCATCAAATAAAAGGTTTTTCTGGAAACTTTGGGGGATCATCTCAATAACAAGCCAGCTTTGTAGGGAGGCTTTTGTGACCCTTTGGTAAACCCTCAAATAACTGCCCAGGAGACTGTGATATTGACTGGTCAACCCTAAAGACCCAGGAGAAAGACCTGGCAGTAGATGTACCTTTGATTGGATACTGTCCACTTAGCTTATATCCTCCACATTTCCAGTCCTGTTTCTGAAAAATAATGGTCATGTCCTACCAAATCTAGAGATACGATATCTTGATGTCATCTTAGATAAATTTCAACTCTGTAATAACAAATTTCCCTTATCATTCATAGCTCTGCTAGGGATTAATAAGGTGAACAGTAGTAAGGGCAGATGGAGGAAAAGTAAAACCAGTTAGGTTTTGTATATTTGAACGCATTTCTTTTAGAAGACCTATTCAACTAGACTTCCATCTGTTAGCAGAAATCTTATTTCTTATGAGAAATATTTAAGTTACTGATGGGGTAAAGATGCCTACATTATAAAACATAAAAATCTAATACCAAATGGAGTAAATGATTTGTAAATGTCTTATTATTTTCTGATTATAAAAGTAAAATATCTACAGTGTAGAAAATAAAAGATGTAATAAGTTTAGAAGACCATAGTGTAGTGATTAGCACACTGCTTTCCAACATCTGAGATATTGTGATTTATATAAATATAAATATATATATATTTTAAAGTCATTAGCCAACCAAACAGGCTTTGCTTCCCACTCTAGAACTGTTGGTGATTTTTCAGCTGCTTTTCTTCTTCTTTTTTTTTTTTTTTTTTGAGTTGGAGTCTCACTCTATCGCCCAGACTGGAGTGCAGTGACCACTCCCGGCCACCGCAACCTCGACCTGCTGGGCTCTGGCGATTCTTCCGCCTCAGCCTTCCAAGTAGCTGAAACTACAGGCGCGCGCCACCATGCCCGGCTCATTTTTGATTTATTGTAGAGATGAGGTCTTGCCAAGTTGCCCAGGCGGGTCTCGAACCCATGGGCTCAGGCAATCCACTCATCTCAGTCTCCCAAAGGCGTGGGATTACAGGCTGAGCCACCAAGCCCAGCTCAGCTGCTTTTCTTATAGACTTGGTGAAATTATTCACAAAACCTTGAGACTCAAAGCAAATACTTATCACTTTACAGGCTGGCAAGTCTAAAGCCCTTTATTTCTGGAAGGGAGGGGGTTACATTATGTCACATCCTGGTTTTGTAAATAGGCCTTGACATCACAAGTAATCAAAAAAGAATGTAGCCTCCAGTTTTCTTGGGCTGGATGTGCTACCATCAGCATCAGAACTGACATGGGAAATAAAAAGAGTGGGTCACTTGTCTCCCTAGAGCTGACCACTTTTCTTAAGACAGTTAAACATTTGGGTCTGCCAGGTTTGAAGTGTTTGATTGTTAAGAGTGACACAGACTGTTTCTGTCTCAACTGAAAATGTTATATCAATTTCAAACAGAATAAGGTAAACTACCTAAACTTGCCCCAGTTTCAAACAGAATAAGGTAAACTACCTAATCTTGAGGTCCTGAATTAGTCTTTTCCAAGGTTAACTAGTAGAACAAAATCTTTATTAAAAAGGAGCCTCATTAATTTTGATTTATACTTAAAATGATGCCATTAATGGAATTATGCTAAACTGGGATTTAGCAGTGTAATGATAACAACCAGTTTCTACAGAAAGGAATACAGATTTTATCTACCTTATATGGTTTTCTTCTGTTAAAAATTGGTACCCAATCATCTCCCTCAGAAGAGAACAAACTCTAAAGATATTCAGAAGAAGAAAACCATTGTCAGGGCTCAGTGGTGAGGATTCAACTTTCTGTTGTGGCATTTTAGATTGCTTCTTTAGATTGCATTTTAGATTACATCAGAAGTAAACATTTTGTCGAAAAAAGTATTTAATTTCAACTTGATAAAGAATAGCTACACAAACTTCAGCATCGTACTTTATGGTGAGTAACTAGGAGCTTTCCCATTAAGATCAGAAAATAAGGCAAGGATGTCCCTTCTCACTACTGCTTTTCAACATCATACTGGAAGTTCTAGCTAATGCAATAACACAAGAAAAGAACATAAAATGTATATCAATTGGGAAGGAGAAAATAACACTGTCTTTGTTTGCAAATGACATGAGTGTTTATGAAAAAAAATCCAAAAAAATTTGACAAATCAACCTCCTTGAACCAATAAGCAATTATATCAAGGTTTTAGGATAAAAAGTTAATATATAAAAATCAATCACTTTCCAATAAACCAGCAATGAACAAGTGGAATTTGAAGTGAACATATTACCATTTACATTACCACCCCAAAATGAAATTATTAGGTATAAATCTAACAAAATATGTACAAGACATATATGAGGACAACTACAAAACTCTGTTGAAACAAATCAAAGAACTAAATAAATGCAGAGATATTCTATGTTCTGGATAGGAAGATTCAATATCGTCAAGGTGTCAATGCTTTCCAACTTTATTTGTAGGTATGTTTAACGGAATTCAAATTAAAACCCTAGCAAGTTATTTTGTAGGTATTGACAAACTGATTCTGAAATTTATAGGGAGAGAAGAACAAAACTGGAGGACTGAGACTACCTGATTTCAAGACTTACTATAAAGCTGTAGTAATCAAGATAATGTGGTAGTGCTAAAAGAATAGACAAATAGATCAATATAAAGGAATAGAGAGCCCAGAAAGAGACCCACATACATCTAGTCTGCTAAACTTTGACAAAAGAACAAAAGCAATACAATGGAGAAAAAATCATCTTTTTAACAAATGGTGCTGGCACAACTAGACTTCCACATGCAAAAATAAAAATAAAAATAAATCTACTACAAAGACTTTATACACATGACAAAAAGTAACTCAAAATGAATTACAGACCTAAATATAAAATGCAAAACTAGAAAACTCCTAAAAGATAACATAAGAGAAAATCAAGATGACCTTGGTTTTAGAGTTAACTTTTTAAATACTACACCAAAGGCATAATCTATGAAAAAATTAATAAGCTGGAGTTTATTAAAATTAAAAAATTCTGGGCCAGGTCTGGGAGTTCAATCTGTAATCCCAACACTTTGGGAGGCCAAGGTGAGAGGATTGCCTGAACCCAGCAGGGATTTGAGACCAGCCTGGGCAACTTAGTGAGACCTCTTCTCTACAATAAATGAAAATATTAGCTGGGCATGGTAGCACACACCTATAGTTCTAGCTACTTGGAAGGATGAGGCGGAAGGATCACCTGAGCCCCACAGGTCGATGCTGGGGTGGCCGTGAGCGTGCCACTGCTCTCCAACCTGGGCAACAGAGTGAGACTCCAACTCAAAAAAAAAAAAAAAAAAATCTGCTCTGCAAAAGACACTACTAAGAGAATGAAAAAAACAAACCACAGAGTGGAAAAATATTTGTAAAAGACATAGTTGGTAAAAGACTATTATACAAAATACACAAAGAACTCTTAAAACCCAACAATAAGAGAACAAACAAACTGATTAAGGAATGGGTCAAATAGCTCACCAAAGATATTCAGATGTCAAATAAGCATATGAAAAGATGTTCAACATCAGTCATTAGGGAACTGCCAATTAAAATGAGGAGATCTCACTACACACCTATTAAAATGGCCAAAATTCAAAACACTAAAAACATCAAATGTTGGTGAGGGTGTGGAGCAATAGAAACTCTCATTCATTGCTGATAGGAATGTGAAAGACAGTTTGGTGGTTTCATAAAAAATATACATACTCTTACCATATCATCCAAATACCTTGACATTTACCCAAAGAAGTCGATAATTTATGTCTACCCAAAAATCTGTGCATGGGTATTTATAGCAATTTTATTCATAGTTGCCAAAATCTGGAAGTAACCTAAATATCCTTCAGTAGGCAAATGGATAAGTTGAGGTATATCCAGATAATGAAATATCATTCAGTACTGAAAAGAAAGGAGCTATCAAGCCATGGAAAGACAGGAGAAAATTTGGATGCATATCATGAAGTGAAAGAAGCCAGTCTGAAAAGGCTACATACTGTATGTTTCCAACCATGTGACCTTCTGGAAAAGGTAAAACTATGGAGACAGTAAAATGATCAATGGGTGCCAGAAGTTAGGAAAGACTACGCAGAGAAACAGGCATTTCAGGAGAGTGAAACTACTCTATATGATACTGTAATGGTGGGTACATGTCATTATACATTTGTCCAAACTCATAGAACGTACAACACCAAGAGTGAACACTATGTAAACCATGGACTTTGAGTGATGATGATGTGTCAATGCAGTCTCATCAGTTGTAATAAATGTACCACTCGGGTAGGGGACGTTGATAATGGGAGAGGTGGTGCATGTGTGGGCTTAGGGGGATACCGAAAATCTCTGTATCTTCCATTCGATTTTGCTGTGAGCCTAAAACTGCTCTAAAAACAATGCGTATTTCATAAAGGTACTTAGTTATAAAATTAAAGTTTCTTGTTTCTATAAATATTGCTTATGCATTTAAAAAAAATGAAACACTAGGGGAAACTTATATCTTGTGGATTGTATTAAATTGTACTAGAGGTCCTGCACTCGGATGCTGACTTCTCAAACAAAAAACCCAATTATTCTTCTTAAATATTTATTTCCCTTTCCACATTGCTTTTTATAGGATGGATTTATTGACTTCTTAGAGTTTATTGCTGCTGTAAATCTAATCGTGCGAGAGAAACTGGAGCAAAAATTAAAATGGTATTTTAAGCTGTACGATACTGATGGAAATGGTTCTATTGACAAAAATGAGCTCCTAGACATGTTCATGGTAAGTGATGCAGTAAAGTTTCCTTTTCTGGCAACTATATAGTTAATCCAGTTCCTTCTATGACATAGGTGACAGCTCTTTATGTGGCTGGCTATTCTTGGAATATACATTTCGAATTGCTGTTGTGGTGTAAGTTTTACTTTATCCTACTGGCTACTGAATATGCAACTGCAAATAGGCAGTTTCTTCCTGCTGCAATCCACCCTGATGTTCACAAATTTTGCAAAGCATTGGGATGAAAAATGAAATAAATATGATATTCTAAAACAACTTATCTTTTTTTTCCTCCCAAATTGCTGAGATTATTGTCATAAACCACTGTGCCTGGCCTGCTCTGCATTTTAGGAATTTCTGCATTTTAGAATCAGCATTACTTACTTTGGGAGAGGAAAAGCAATCCTTAAGGACAAAAGTCCTGTGATATACATCACAGTATCTCTTAAGATAGGAAAAAAAAAAACGAAAAGAGGAAAATGTTTACATAAATTAATACAATGGACAAAGGAACATGTATTTATTTAAAATTTAGTGTCCTGTAGACATACACAATAAACAGGAGAAAAAATCAGCAAGGTCAAGATTAATGCATACTGTAAAATCTGAGTTTTCTCTACACACAATAAGGATGTTAAAACAGAATTCAGGCCAAGCATGAGAGATCAGAAGGAAGCTTTAGAGTATAGGCAGAATTTACCAAGAAGGTAGTAACATCTTAATCTTACCTCAAGTGTATAAAATAGTCAAGAGAAAGGTTTTTGAGAAGGATTTCTGAGGGAATTTATTGCCTAGGACCCTCGAAGTCGATAACACGGGGATTTAAAGAAACCATTGAGATGTGACTGTACCCGGCAGTCTAGGGAGCACATCTGAGTGTTTGAGTCATGGGAGAGAAGTCTACAGAAGCCAACCATGGCAGCAAAGTAGAGGGATGCAGTTCAGAAAGTATCTGCATTCCTAGAAGTCATTGGGACAAAGGATGCCAGGGTGTTTGCCATGAATTGGGTATGGGCCACCTTGAAAGGACGCTGATGCAGAGCTGCCTTAGAGCCATCTGACAGGGTGAGGGAGAGTCAGGAGAAGGAAAGTAGATCTAGACCAATAGTTTTCAACCTGGAGAATCTGCATACTGTCTAGAGACATCTCGATTACCTGGGGAGCACGGGTCCGAATAGTGCTATTGCTGTCTACTGGTTAGAGACCAGAATGCTACTAGGCATTCAACAATGTACAGGACAGCACCAAACAAGAGAGAATCACCTAATCCAAAATTGTCAATTTGCAGATTTTGAGAAACTCTGACTTGGAAAGGGACTCGCTAGAATCAAGATGCTTGGTTCATGTCCAGAGAATTGCAGGAGAGAGAATCTCAGAAATGAGAGAGAAAGGCAGGGGGTTCTCTGAGAGAAAGAGTAGTCTATAAACACCTCCCAGTCCAGAGAGCACTGAAACTAGCTAACCAGTACAGGACCTGAAGTGAGAACTCTTCTGCTCCCCTTTGTCTCCGACCACTCCTGCACTCGCACAGAGAGACTCAAAGACTCAGTGCTCAGAGACTGCTGATTAGCAAAATAGGGGAGAAAGAGTGGATATTATACATGAGGAAAGAAAGAAGTAAAAAAAAAAAAAAGAAAGCCTTTGTGGCCATCCTCCATTCTATTTCTCCTAGAAGAAAAACGGCAAACTGACGACTCCCTCCAAAGATCCCCTCAGACTCAGCCACCTTGCAATCAGCATTTCACTTTCACTTATATAACCTGAAGATGGGTGATGAACGAATCAAGATTTCACAAGGAAGCTTTAGAGTGGTCTAATATCACTTCAAAATGTGAGAATGCTGGATACCTGGCCACACGTTCCAGGTTTCTGGAGCCTCTGACCGAATACCGAGGAACCCTGCAAATTTTCATCTCACGCAAATGCTCTGTGTACGTCACGGTTACTCCCAAGTACTGTCCTGGATTTAACTGTGAGATCTGTAAGACCTGGACATGCAAAGGCCAAGGGTGATGCTTTCCCATCGTTTATGTGGATGAATCCTGGATTCAAGCATAGTGATGCCAGGGGAGCCTCAAGAGAGAGTCGTAGTTAAGATTGTGCCTCTAACTGAAATATGTCGCCAGCGATTTTTCTAAAGATCCCTTCATGCTCAATCAAGATAGTTATGTTCGAATTCCCGGATGACTAATTCCCTTTCATTTTATTATGAATTTCTAGGTCAAATTCGGGTCGTTCAATTTAATCACCTGGAGGGGGGACTTGGCTAAATCTTCCTTCTAGGAAGGCTAGAAATGTCATTTGCCCTGGAACTCCTGACAACTGTTATGATGAAAAGGCACCGGCAGAATGTGAGAGGAATTCAGCTTCCTTCGAAGGCACATCTAGCTGTCTTCCCAGTTGATCGTTCTACAAAGGAATACAAAGAACCTGTGGTGCCAGTCACAGAAGTCAGAGAGGAAATTTGAGACTCACAGGGTTCTGGTCATCCTTTTGTGTCCATCCAAAAGATCCAAACGAATTTGTCTGAAAGTGAGAACAATGCCTGTTTTCTGAATCCAGAATTGTCCTGACCATCACCACTGCAATATTTTCTCCAATGGTCTGTCTGCATCTTTTGCTACCCCATAGGTTGAATGGGTCTCTTTATGCTATATAAAATAAAACTTCAGGCTTTATTCAGTTAATTTACCCTCCAAGCCCTCATTACCCAGAACTGACATTCCATGGTTTCTCTTTCTTTATTTTAGCAATCAGAAGAGGTTGGGTAGCAAAACTGACCTTAGCACAACCCTCAATTTGGTCACATTGGAGCAGAAACATTACAAAATCGATTTGCATCCAGCTAAAATGACCTCTCTCATTAAATATCTCTCTGCAGGCTGTGCAAGCCCTCAACGGCCAGCAAACCTTGAGTCCTGAAGAATTCACCAACTTGGTGTTTCATAAGATCGATATAAACAATGATGGTAAGGGAGCTTATCTCTTCTGGCTCACTTTTCTTTCTTTTTTTAAAAAAGTTCATTTTTTTATAGATTCAGAGTATACAAGTGCACATTTCTTACATGCATATGTTGTGTAGTGAAGTCTTGGGCTTTTAGTATATCTATCACCTGTATAGTGGACACTATATCCAACAGTTTAGTTTTCAACCCTCACCTCACCTCTCACATTTTGTAGTCTCCAGTGTCTGTTATTCCACTCGGTATGTCCATTTATACCTATTGTCTAGCTCCTATCTATAAATGAGAGCATTCAGTATTTGACTTTCTGTTTCTGAGTTATTTCACTTAGGATAATGGCCTTCTGTTCCATCCATGTTGCTGCAAAAGACATGATTTCATTTTTTCATGACTAATATTCTATGGTGTACAAGTACCACATTTTCTTTTTCCAATCCTCCTTTGATAGACACCTAGGTTTACCCTATCCCTTTGCCATCGTGAATAGTGTTATGATAAACACTGGGGTGAAGGTATCTTTTTGATAATTTTTTTTATTTTGGGTATATATTCAGTAGTATGATTGTTCGATCGAATGTAGTTTCTATTTTTAGTTCTTTGAGAAATATCCATACTGTTTCCCATTGCGGTTGTACTAATTCATATTCCCACAAACAGTATATAAGTGTTCCCTTTTCTTTGCGTGCTCACCAACATCTATTTTAGTTAGTTTGTGTTACTTTTTAATAACTGGCTTACTTTTCTTACAAAGTAGGAGACAGAGAACATCACTTAGGCAAAAGCAGAAACCTTTCAAGGGAACCGTAGTCGTGACTTGGACTTCTTAACTTAACCAACCCAATGTTTTCAGTCAGCACAATTCAGATGAGTAAATGTTTATCAACCATGTTTATTTTCAATGTGTGGTGCTTGACACGTTGTGGTATATACACAAAAGTAAAGAGGAGGCAGGAAGGAAATTGGGAGAACTAGGATGAAGGCCCTCCTGCTGTCTGCCCTAGGACATACTCTGTTTACCATTTCCTCTCTTCTGGAGGTTTCCCATGAACTTACAGATAAACTCAAGTTTTCCTTACTGTAGAAAATCTTCCTTCAAGGATGCCACCCTCTTCTACTATCTAACTTTGTCCTTCCCTTTGACTGCCCAGTTCTGGAGTGTCATTCACACTTGCCTCCATTTCTAATTTCTCTAAAATGTCTGGCCACATTTCTGCTCTTTCTGCTCATTTCTCCACCTGATTTTCTCACCCTGCAATCGGGGTTTCTTTTTAGCCCAAGGAAGGTGTATTTCTTCTTCAGAGGCAGGAGTGAAGAGAGAAGGCACAGATGTCCCAAGAGAAGGGAGTGCAAAAGGGTAGTTGAGCATACTGGCTTGAAATCGAGGCAGAATATCTAGGAATGATCCTTGAAAGACAGAAAATACGGCATGATAAAAAAAATACGATATAAGTAAGAGTTTTAAAAAAATGGATAAGAGGCCCTGAGTTCCAGTCATGATTGTCACCAACCCAAAGAAACTCCTTCCGAAGCACCTGCCCGCCATGTGGCACTTCTTCCAGTGGACACGAGAGGGCAGTAGAGACACATTTTGCCATGTGGAGGCCGGTAGTTTGCATTAGTCAAGTGTGACAGCTCAGTGTGACAGGATGGGATGGTGAGGACGATGGGAGGAAGTTCAAATGCAGCCACTGTTGTTAAGGAGCTAAACAACTGGACAAGAGTAGAATGCTCAAGAAATAAATTTGGAGGTATATCAATAGTATCACTCTTTCTCTACTTAAGGACTCCACCCGAGATCTGCCTCTCCTGAATTTCAAGTCACTTACTATGACACTGAGATCAAAGAATGAAATAAGCCAGTCCCTGCGAAAGATTGCAAGGAACAGAGTCAGACTCCCCAGAGCAGAAAAGAAGACTAAGTGAAGTTAGAAAAGGACCAGAGAAATGGAGAGTGGCGTGTCTGACAAAGCCAATGAAGACCTTGCTTGAAATATGCAACTGAAAATGGTGGTTGTCAAACAGGAGAAGGGTGTAGGTTTTGTTCTGTTTTAATTTTATTTTTAATCTTAGAGGTGCTGAAGGATGAAAGGGATTGGAGTAAAGAGGATAAACCATTTCAGTTGTGGCAAAAGCCTTGATGTAAAAATGGGTATTCCACAAGAATGGGACAGCATGAAGATTCCAGACTCTGCAGTCTCTTCGGTGACATTCAAAACCTCATGTGAAGAATAGTTGACACTATCCATGGACACTGCTTCTAGTGCTGGAAGTGGGAGAACAGGGAGGTGAACTTCTTTGGAGAAGTATGAAGATTTTGGTATCCTGAGGGAAAAACTAAGTTTCTATCAGTTTGAGCACATAGATAATGTGCTCTAGTAAACAAGACAATGATATAGGATTTTTTTGTTTCCTATGGAAGGAGATTCCACAAAGGCAAATATAAAGAATAAAGAATCAACAAAGTGAGAATATGATTAGAAGGGAACCTGAAATAAAAGTGGCTGGGTTGAAAAGAGACATGAACTCAGAAGAGAGAAGTTGTGCTCAGGCAATAAACAGCTGAGGCTACCTGGAGTTAAGGCAGTGAGCTCTTTAACCTAAAAGAATATGTCAACAAAAGAAAAGAGGGGTTGCATTATGGTTTCTAGGGCGGTTCATAAAACACTAATTGTTTCCTGTGATAAAAAAAATTACATCCCAAATTCATTAGGAGTAACAATGAATCACTTTTTCTTAGCAAATGTATATACAGAGCTAAACTTGATAGAATCTGCTTTTATATAAAAATTATTGAAGGCTGTTACATTCTTTCATCAAGAGACAGCTGCGTCATTCAATGCATCAAGAAAAAGATACTTAAATACGTGTGTTGGACAGAGACATGCCAGTGCAACAGAATACAAGGAAGAGAAAGTAATAAAGATAAGAAAGATTGATATTTGCAGAAGTGCAAAAGGATTTGGCCAATGTTTGACAAAGGAGAATAAAGTGCTTCATTCATACATAAAGGGAGAGGTAGCATCACACAGAGAAATGTCTATTCACATTCGTACAAGCCTAAGTATGCATACCTCAAATATTATTTTTTATTGTTTATTATCGTTGCTAGCAAGATCAGTGTTGGTGGAAATAGAGATTCTCAATTAATTAAATACCAGATGCTAATGACTGTATACCAACATATATGCTTCTGATTTCTCAAAGTAAAAAGCAAGCACATCATTGATATCCAATACTCGAAGGAATATTGAAATAAAAAAGATGATCGCAGCACACAAAGATACAACTAAAAGGACTCTAAAATTAGCCAGGTGTGGTAGTGCACACCTGTAGTTCTGGCTACTTGGAAGGCTGAGGCAGAAGGATCCCCAGAGCCCAGCAGGTTGACACTGGGGTGACCATGAGTGTGCCACTGCACTCCAGCGTGGGCGACAAAGTGAGACTCCAAACTCAAAAAAATAAAAAAAGACTCTAGGCATGAAAATCTCAATTTGATTATAAATTGTTTGCAAAACTATGACCAATATCACATCTATTATGGCAGAAAAAAACACAACATTTATGAAATATTCTATACATAATTATTATGACAGCAAGTCAGTGTTGGAAGATTAAGCAAAAGAGAGGTATAAGATTAATGCTAGAATTATAAATAAAGATGAAAAGCTATACATTCTGGGAAGGCAAGAATGTATAGCTTTCTGTTTTGTGTACTTTGGTATTCCCTGTGCTGGCACATAGTAGGTTCACTAAAAATAATTGTGCAATGAATGAGTGATAAGATGAAAAATAAAGGGAGGAATAAAGAAGAAACAGGCACAATGTGCAATGCTATCTGTAGGAAGAAAGACATCTAAAATATTTTGGATGTTAACACATGTATATGTATATGCATTCCAAACTTCACAAGATATAAACCTGGATTGGTTAGCAGGAGTTAATTAGCTATGGGAGGTAGGGGACCGGGGTCCAGAGAGAGGTTCAAGGGGCATTCTCTCTTTGTTAAACCAAAGCCTGTGTGTTTGAAATTTTGTTTTAACCATGAGCATATATTATTTTTGTGATGTAACAAGTTTGTTTAATTTTTATGAGTTTGATTTTTATGTTGTGAACAAAACATCAGGAAGGAGAGCTTGAAAAGAATGGCAAAGGCAGAAAGTTGAAACTAAACAATGTGATATTCTTGAGGAATAAAAACAGAGGGGGCCAGTGAGGATAAATGACTAAGCATGTAATTCTGTAGGCTTTATCAGCAGAAGAATAGCAATCTGCATTCTCTCGTGCTCTGATCAGGAGTCCATCTTGTTATGATTTAGGGAGGTTTTTAGATGTTCACAACATCAAGTGCAGGAAGTGCCTGAGCAAGGTTAGCATAGAGCCAAGTAACCCAGGGTTAAGGGAGGCGTCAGTGGCTCATAATGAGAAGCCATGAAAGTAAAAATACGCCAAAGAGGAAATGCAAGAGGGTGATCATTGAGCAGATAATGTAGGTAAAAGACCACATGTACTCACTCATAAGCAGGCCCTGAACATTTATTATAACACTATAAGAAAGTGATTGGCAGTAGGGGAACACTGCAAGGGGGTGGGGGAGGTGGCACATAATGTCAATAAGGGTACCCGATCTCAAACCAGGCGGAGTAGGGACTAAAGGGAGGCTCAAACTTCACCTCTACAATGACCACTTATGTACCTAACCCTGAATTGTACCTCACATCTTTAAAATTTAAAAAAAGCCAGTGCTTCAGACTGGAACATTGCAAAAAGCCACAAGGGTCACCACCCTCAATCAGCCTGGGAAACCGAGAAGTGCAAGAAGGGAATTTAGTTTCCACACGGAAGAGAAGAGACTGCCACACCTAAAACTCTCCGAAAAAACACTGCTGAGTGCCTCTAGGGCCACCTTGCTAATGAACACAATGCTAGTGTCATTCAGAATCTTCACCAGCATCCTCCCTTGAAAGCATGGTTGTTCTCATCTCCTGAATCCTGCCCACCCCGTCTTCACTGATTTTCCAGCCCCAGAACAATTTTGATGAAGTGATAATGAAAAGAAACTCGAAGAAGAAAAAATTCCCTTACGTGGCTCACTTCTTTAAAGCAAAAATGCTAATATAGGCATGCCCAGTAAATTCTGGCTTTTTTGGTGGGGCTGGAGGGGAGTAGTTTATTCTGTCGTAAAGGACTGTTAACTATGCTAGTGGGAAGAAATGCATGATTTAGAATACCAACAGGATAACCAGATTGCAAAAACAAGACTAAAGGGAATATTCTCGGATAGCTGTCGTACTACCAGTGAAACTGCTAAAATAGTTGGTGAGTGATAAAAGAGCACTTGTAATGTTGACCTTCAGGGTCCACAGGAGTAGAAAATGCATCCACCACGACCACAAACAACCCTAAACAACGCAGACATCAATTATGTGTATATGTGTATTTCAACATTTAAAACATGTGCATTTTCTGAACTACACTGTAGGAAAATTGAAATAGAAAACAAAATCATAAAAACTCAGTAATCACTTTAGGTCTTTCTGGGCCCTGTGGTCTCCAGATCAATTGTCTCTCATGAGCTTCGGCTCTTTGCTGGTAGATTCTCCTGGACCTTCACAGGCGATCCTTTCTAGGTTAACCCAGAAACCATACGTTTAATTCGTTTGGACACAAATTCACAATCAAATTAAAGAGGATTAGGAAGCAGCGTTAAAGAACATCAGATAAAGGGAGCCAATTCATCAGCATAAGCTTTCTGAGTACCCACCATATTGACAACACTGTCATCGGTTGTGGTAACTGTGTGGTTGGTAGTGGAAATGGTCATTGCAGTCACAGTTTACTAAATGCTTAGTGAACAAGTGAACGAATGTTGAGTGCAAGAGGGAAAAACAGAGAGAGCATTTCAAAAGAAGCATTTTAGATATAGTAAACATTGTAAATGACGATAGGTAGAGGGTGACAATTTGGAACAGAACATCCTTTTTTATGGTCAATGGTTAGGAACAATGAAAAAGTTGATATGAAGAGTTCAGAGTGTTTTGAAGAAAATGATTAAAACAGCAGCGAAGGTCGGACATGGTGGCTCATGTCTGTAATCTCAGCACTTCGGGAGGCCGAAGCAGGAAGATTGCTTGAGCCCAGGAGTTGGAGACCAGCCTGGGCAACATAGAAACCTCGTCTCCACAAAAATAAAAAAATAAGCCAGGCTTGATGGCATGTACCTGTAGTCCCAGCTATTCAGAGCCTGAAACAGAAGGATCGCCTGGGCTCAGGAGATCAAGACTGTGGCAAGCTGTGATTATTATGCCACTGTACTCCACCTGGATGACAGAGTGAAGTGGAACTTCAACTCTAAAAAAAAAAGAAAAGAAAAGAAAAAGAGAAAAGAAAAATAACAGTGATGACTTCCATCTTTTTTTCCCTTTTCCACAGCAGTAACCTGCTTTTTTTCTTTTTTTTTTCTGAGTCAGAGTCTCACTCTGTCACCCAGGCTGGAGTGCAGTGGCACACTCATGGACACCCCAGCGTCGGCCTGCTGGGCTCCAGTGATCCTTCCGCCTCAAACTTCCAAGTAGCTGGAACCACAAGCACCCGCTACCATGCCCACCTAATTTTTGATTTATTGTAGAGACGAGGGATCGCCAACTTGCCCGGGCTGGTCTCAAACCCACGGGTTCAGGCAGTCCACTCACCTCAGCCTCCCAAAGTGCTGGGATTACAGACTGAGCCACCAAGCCTGGTCTTGCTTTGCTTTTCAACTGAGATGGTGGCTATATCCCAGGACCTTCAGAGGCAACCTCTTCTATTGCCAGCAATGATGGCAACATTTTAAAACTAAGTAGTAAAAACTGACACTCCCTCTTCTCTTGTGGTCCTGCTGAGCCCCTAGAAACTTGAAGTCTTTGGGGACTGAGAAGTCACCAGCTGTGATTTCCCATTACAAAGGGTGGCTATTCTTTGATTACACAAGGTTCCCCTGCCCCATCTCCCCCGACCCATGTGTCCTTTCCTACCCACACACTTAATACTCCCACTAATCTGCAGTTTTCTCTGCTTCCCTTTGGTTTAGTACATGGTTGTGCTTCCCTGTGACACATAGGAAGTTCTATTACTGACAGCGGTTAGCTGGGGGTTTCCACAGACCTTTCTTGGCATGAATAAAACATAAGAATCCAAGATTAGAGTCCCCTCTAAAAAATACATTGTAGTATTTTGCATTGAAACCAAAAGGAAGGTATCTTTTTTTTTTTCGAGTTGGAGTCTCACTCTGTCGCCCAGATTGGAGTGCAGTGGCCGCTCCCGGCCACCGCAGCCTTGACCTGCTGGGCTCCCGCGATCCTTCTGCCTCAGCCTTCCAAGTAGCTGGAACTACAGGCACACGCTACCACGCCCGGCTAATTTTTGATTTATTTTAGAGATGAGGTTTCACCATGTTGCCCAGGCAGGTCTCGAACCCACGGGCTCAGGGAATCCACTCATCTCAGCCTTCCAAAGGCGCGGGATTAGAGGCTGAGCCACCGAGCCCGGTTGGAAGGTATTATGAAGGTGTGAGTTCATGATTTTTATATTGAAATTGCTGCTGTGATGTTGTAGATACTTGTCTTTGTTCACTAACAAGCGTAGGGCAGTCTAACACCTGATGTTAGTCTCTGCTGACTTCCTACCTGGGGTGCGCTTTCTCTAGTTCCTGAATGCATTTAACTTGTCTTTGGTTGACCTTCCACCTAGCCACAAACGCTGTTCGGCATAGTTTCTTTGAGATCAGGAACTTCATCTGATCCTTCAAGTTGAACACACCCATAATCCCAATCCAGATGATTTCTGTCTACAGGTAATACCACTCCCACCCCCCAAAAATGTTAAAAAGTCATCTTGTGAGGCGAGGAAAGTGGAAAAACATGACAGCTAGTACACATGGGTAAAAGGTGATGGAGTGGCATAGTCAAAGTGATAAATTAGGAATCAAAAACCAGAAAAAGAGAGAACTCATGACTAATGATAATATGTGGAATGAATAAATATTTAAGCGTCTTCAGAGCTTTGGATAGTCCCTGGAATTATTTCCTCAGAGAGAATAATATTGAAAATAGCCTCATGAACAGTCATTTCCTCTTTCTCTTTTTTTTTTTTTTTTTTTGGTTTG